AAGCCATTTAAGTATCTCAACACACCAGAAAAGGCATTTGACACAATTCAATATACCTCCATGATTAAAAATACTCAACAACCTAAGAAGAAAATTTTCTCAACATGATAAAGGGTATCTATGAAAAACTTGCAACCAAGATTATATTCAATGGTGAAAGGAAAAATGCTTTCCCTTTAAGACTGAGAACAGAATAAGGGTGTTTGTCCACTCTTGCCACATCTATTCAACATTGTACTAGAGGGTTCTAGTCAGGATAATTAGGCAAGAAAAAGAGACAAAAAGTCATCCCAACTGGAAAGAAAGAAAACTATCTCCATCTTCAGATAATATGATCTTGTATGTAGAAAATCCTAAGAAATCCAGAAAAAAATTTTAGAACTAAGAAACAGGTTCAGCAAAGTTGCAGGATATAAGATCAAGATACAAGAGTCAGGCAATGAAAATTCCAAAAATGAAATTAAGAAAACAATTCATTTAAAAGTGCAAGACTCATACCCTAAAAACACTGTTGAAAGAAACGAAAGAAAATCTAAATAAATGGAAAGACATTCTATGTTCATAAATTGGAAGGGTTGATATTGTTAACATGGCAACATTCCCCAAACTGATGTACAGAGAAAAGACCAATCCCTATTAAGACGCTAGTTGGCTTCTCTGTAGAAACTGACAATCTGGTCTTAAAATTCATGTAGAAATTTAAGGGATCCTGAAAAGCCAAACCAATCTTAGAGAGTAAAAAAACAAAACAAAAAACCAAAGCTGGAAGACTCATACTTCCCTATTTTAAAACTTACTGCAAAGCTATAATAATCAAGACTATGACATTGGTATGAGGACAGACATACAGATCAAGGGAACAGAACCAAGAGTCCAGAGAGAAACCACATTCATCTATGACCAAATGATTTTCAACAAAAGTGTCAACAGCATTCAATGGGGGAAAGAAAAGTTTTTTTCAACAAATGGTGCTATAACAACTGGATGTTCACATATATAATGAAGTTGGATACCTTCCGGGTCATACCATGTACAAAGATTAGCTCAAGAGAAATCAGAGACCCAAAGGTAAGAGTTAAAACTATACAATTCTTAGAAGAAAACACAGGAATAAATATTTATGACCAAGAAACAGAGAAAGAATAAACTGGACTACATCAAAATTTAAAACTTTTGTGCTATTAACATCAAGAGTGGCCAGGTATTGTGGCTCAAGCCTGTAATCCCAGCACTTTGGGAGGCTGAGGTGAGAGGACTGCTTGAGCCCATGGGTTCGAGAACAGCCTGGGCAACTTGGAGAAACCTCATCTCTACAATAAATCAAAAAAATTAGCCAGGCATGGTAGCACGTGCCAGTAGTTCCAGCTTCTTGGATGGTTGAAGCGGAAGGATCACTTGAGCCCAGCAGGTTGACGCTGGGGTGGCCGTGGGCATGCCACCGCACTCCAACCTGGGCGACAGAGTCAGACTCCAACTCAAAAAAACAAAAAACAAAAAACTCACAAAAAAATGACATCAAGAAAATGAAAAGACAACCCTTGGAATGAGAAACATCTGCAAACGATTTATCTGATAAGAGACTGTATCCGGTCCTGGCAACTTGGCGAGATCTCGTCTCTACAATTAATAATAAAAAACAAAAAAATTAGCCCGACGTGGTAGCACACGCCTGTAGTTCCAGCTACTTGAAAGGTTGAGGCAGAAGGATCGTCGGAGCCCAGCAGGTTGACGCTGGGGTGGCCATGAGCGTGCCACTGCACTCTAGCCTGGGCAACAGAGTGAGACTCCAACTCAAAAAAAAAAAAAAAAATCACATTAGTAATTCATTCTTTTAAAATGGTAACTGTACTTATAATTGTGACAATTTATATTTACATTTGTGCTTTCTCTTTAGTTACATGAAGAAGCAGCTATCTAGATCTGGACATGAAGACATCTTTATACTTTTTACAGATTACTCACAATTTGAATAAGTGCCACATTCTACTAAAAAAAAAAAAAAAAGTCCTAAGTGTGACTTTTTCAGTCTTAGAGTTAGTGATAATAATCTGAATGGCTACTTTAAGCATTTTCAGTTTTAGACGGTTAGTCAGGTCATCACAGATCCAAGGCAAAGATAAAAACAAATGAGAAAGTTCCCCAAGGATCAATAGAACTTAACCAGATATGAAACCAAAGACAGGAGTTATGTACAGATTGAACATTGATAGCTACAACTCCTTAGATTTTAAGCAATTCCCACCTCCACACCACAATGGATTGAATACCCCTTTTACTTATCACATCACTCTTACTTTTAAAGTGTTTTCTACTACCATTTTCAACTGGAAAGAAATGGCTTAATGTGAGCTTATGACACTTAAATCGAGTGACTTTCCATTTTAAGCTTGTCAATGATGACTTCACAGTTATGTGAATGTTAAAAAGTAATTTCAGTAAGTTTTAGTCAGACCAATTTTTAAGGAAAAATTGGAGTTATGTATGTATGTATATTACACACACACACTCTCTCTCTCTCTCTCCCCTCCATCCATCCAATTAGTATGTCTTCATGATTATACTTCATTTAGTGTTTAACTCCCTGTGCATACAGAATATTCTTTTAAAACATGTCTGCCAGTGATTTAATCATCAAAGATAAACCTTCCTCACATATTTCTAAGTAATGCTATAAACACCACAAGAACGTCTCAGAGTATTATCAGATTAGAGGAAAGAGACAAGCTCTGGAACCATACAGAACCTGAATTCAGATCTCAGCTCAGCCACAAGTGATTGAAACTCTATGGGTTTGGGTTCTTATCTGTGATGGCAATGTTAAATGCTTTGTTGTGCTCTTGTGAAGATTAAAAGTAAAATATAAACAGAATTTAGCACAAGGTCTGTCATCAGATACCAAATAAATGGTATCTCTTACTTTTATTATTTCAATGACTTTAGCATTTGGGATTACCTGTTTAGCTGCCAAAAATACAGATATGAAATGAAATCCTTTGTGATTTTCTGAAAACCAAGTAAGCATGACAGTTCAGGTGGTTTCCTATGTGCTTAAGACCAAGTTTTTGTTGTTGTTGTTGTTGTTAAAAAAGAAAATAATTGCCTTCAAATCCTACAAAGTGTTATACATCTTTCTATTTGGTCCAAGTCTAAGTGCTTTTAAACTCCATAATAATCTATTACTGACATGTGTTTTGGGGAAAATCTGAGACAGTAAAGCCTTCTATATTTGCAAGTTATCACCAATTGCTCTCCCAGGCAGCTTAATTCTAAAATTCAATGATTTCAGTCAAAATATGATCTCTAGCTACATAATTCAATTATTTTTATTTTAAAGATTTGGTTTTCTACGGTTTTGAAAAATTTTGCAGCACTACATATGAAAAGAAATGGGAATATTTTCAGTTGCAGGATGTTAATTTGTATCTGACAGACAGAAGGAAAAACTTTCTACAAAAAAACTAAATCAGGGGTCCCCAACCCCCAGGTTGTGGACCAGTACAGGTTCATGGCCTGTTAAGGAACTGGGCCACACAACAGGAGGTGAGCAGCAGGCAAGTGGAGCTCCGTCTCCTGTCAGATCAGCTGTGGCGTGAGATTCTCGGGAGTGCGAACCCTACTGTGAAATGCAAACATGAGGGATGTAGGTTGCGCTCTAATGCTTGACGATCTCCTCCCCTCCACTCTCCATCTGTGGAAAAGCTGTCTTCCAGGAAACCAGATGCCAAAAAAGTTGGGGACCGCTGCTCTAAATCACTACATTTAGTTGGATTTAAAAATTGATTGATCATAAATATTTAAGTCAAACAGAAAATGATATTTATATAAGTGTGGCCATAATGGTCTCATCCCATTAAAAATCAGCACTCCACATTTTTCTTAATGGGTTCATATTTTGGGAAAGCTGATTTCATATTTTTCCTCTGCTTCCTTATAAAAAATAGTTATTTATGATGATGTTATTTATATTGTTATTTATGATGTTCTACCTACCAGCAGAATCAATAAATAGGAGTCAATTAAAATATAAAATGTTAGTTACTTAATAACCTTGGAAAGGTACTCTATATGGTTTGCAAGATAAGGTCATTAATGGTCTTGGGAAATATGCCTTTATTATGTATCTGTAGCATTAAAAAAAGACAGGATGGCAAAAGCTACAGCACAATTTATCAATGTCAACTGGATTATAATAGCATTAAACCCCTTCCCTGCATAAAAGGTAACGAGGATAGAAATTTTCAGATACTTCTAATTTCACAAGCAAAGTCAAGTCTGCTACCTATCCCCTTCCCAATGAAGCCTATCCTGACCACCCTATTTAACCTTTTGCAACTGCATTCCCTCCCAATCCTAGTCCCTACTCTCCCTCCCCTCAGATGGCTCTTAACATTTTCTTTTTTTTTTAGTTGGCATCTCACTCTGTCACCCAGACTGGAGGACAGTGGCACGCTCCCGGCTACCGCAACCTCAACCTGCTGGGCTCAGGTGATCCTTTCGCCTCAGCCTTCCCAGTAGCTGGAACTACAGGAATGCACCTGGCTAGTTTTTGTATTTATTGTAGAGATGAGGTCCTGCCAAGTTGCCCAGGCTGGTCTCAAATCCATGGGCTCAGGCACTCCTCTCACCTTGGCCACCCAACGTGCTGGAATTATAAAGGCGTGAGCCACCGCACCCAGCCCTCTTAACATTTTCTAACACAATTAGTTATGTTCAGTTTTTATTCTGCTTTCACTCCTACTACACACTAAAATGTGGACTCCACAGGGCATGGATTTTTGTTTTGTTCTCTGATGTATCTTAAATGCCCAATAGTATGCAGCAAATGGTAGGTGCTCAGTAATTACTGAATGATTAAAGGAGTACATATAACAGATAAGAGCAACAAGCATATCAGTGTGCCACTTAAGAGCTTAATTCGTCAGATTAGATTGAGAACATTCCTGAATAACGGTTTAAACATCCCACCATTTCAGATTACTCAGCTCACTTAAAGACCCTACCTGCCTGAGTGCGTTCCTATGGCCACCACTGTGCCACTTGGATGAAAATCTGCACAGTGTCCTGGTTCCTAGAAGAGAGACAGACAGCTGTTGGGGAGTTCGTAAGAAAGTCTCCCTAGATCTATGGGGACAGTGGCAAAAACACATTTGAAAACAACTTGTTTCACATAAACATGGAATTCTGATCAACTTTATTGTGGCCAATGAGAAATACCACATGGATATGAGAGAAGGAATTTCAGAGCACAAAGCGGATAAGCTGGCAGAGTGGTGAGGGACAAGGACAGCCAGCTTGTGGTGAGGTGGTGGGACATTAAGGAACATAACAAACATTTGTACAGGTCTTTAAATTCTGCAAAGATCTTGCATACACCTTTTGGGCTAGAAAAGGTGGATATCTGGGTGGGATAGGGAGAAAATACAGTAAGAGACCACTCAAAAAGAAGATAGTAGAGAGTCTGTTAGTGAGCAGCACTTACTGAATCCAACTGCAACACCACTCAAGGCCCAAATATTTCCATAATAATTAATGCTTCATAAATACGTGCAAAAATCTTGATGATTTTTTCTACTGAGACTGATAGAAAAATTGAGCTTCTACTCTGCTAAGTTGTATCTTTAAAATGAGTTCATGTTATACTTTGAGATTAAATACTCCTCTCTTGCTCCCAGCCCCTTTACTCAAACATATATAAACACTTGATTTGAGCCAATGCTTAGTCCTTTCTCCTTTGCTGCTCCCGATTGCCAGTGAGGAGTTTCTGTGGGAAGATTATTAACCACATCTTGTTTTACTCACATCTACAAGCCTGGTCCACTCCAGCCTATGTTCCGCTGAGTTCCACATGCACACTTGTCTGTCCTGAGCACATGTCAAGAGTAAATCTTTGAAGGGATGTGTGGCAAGACCCCAAAGCTCATCTGTATGACCCTGAAAGTGAAAGATAGCCATTGTGACAAGAATCAAAAGATAACATCAAAAATATTCAGTTAATAGTTAATATCATACAGCTTACCTGCACTTCTATTTGGAAGCCATCATTAAATGTTCCCCGTAAAATAAAGTTTCGTGATGTGCCTACTAAAAATTGATCTGCCTTTCCTTCTGCTACAGCTCTAATTGTACCATACTGATCAGGAACCTAGGGGAAAAAGAATCTGTAAAGTCACCATATACATAATAATATGCATTAATCACTATTTAAAATATGGCATTTATAGTTGTAAGCAATTATGGGGCAAAAAATAATAGAATACCAAATTTGAAGATAATGTGGTAATTTCATAACAATTTATTTGCTCAATTGCATTTTATTACACAAAAGAAATAATACAATGCATTCTTGTCAACATTCAGCTAACTTAAAATTTTTAATTTATATGATTTCAAGAGTTAAGAATTAAGAGTAAGGAAAACAGAAATAAGTTATATTAGATCACATGAAAAATGTGGTCTAGTTTTTTACTTATTAGTTATGTTACTTTGGGTAAGTCACTTGGACCAGGAAACATTTCTTTATGTGTAATATGAGGAAGATAATAATACAGGACTTGCCTACTCGATTGTTATAAGAATCAAAATATAAGAATATTCTCAGCTGGGCTCAGTGGCTCAGCCTGTAATCCCGCACTTTGGGAGGCTGAGGTGAGTGGATTGCCTGAGCCCGCGGGTTCAAGACCCTCCTGGGCAACTTGGTGAGACCTCATCTCTACAATAAATCAAAAAATTAGCCGGGCGTGGTAGCGTGCGCCTGTAGTTCCAGCTACTTGGAAGGCTGAGGCGGAAGGATTGCCGGAGCCCAGCAGGTCAAGGTTACGGTGGCCGGGAGCGGCCACTGTACTCCAGTCTGGGCGGCAGAGTGAGACTCCAACTCAAAAACAAAAAAAAAGAATATTCTCACCACAAAGAAATGATAAATGCACGAGGTGACAGACACTACACTGGATCATTACACAACAGATATGCGCTGAAGCATCAAATTGTACCCCACAAATATGTACAATTACAATTTAACAATTTAAAAATGTATTATAACTAACAAGACTGCTTGGGAGATCAATTTCATTTAATGTACTACTATGTTCCTGTGAATGTTAATTAATATAATAATTCCAAACAACTATTTTTTTCTGAAATAATACAATTTTTTTCCTTTTTAAAGTGGAATCCAAAATTATTCCTAAAAATACCAAGAAGTGAATTTCAAGAGTAATTCAAGTTACATTAGAAATGGTAAAAGAGGGAGTGAACTAGATTGCATAGCTTTTGATAACAAAGGAAATGAGTTATCTGTGAAGAAAAGAAATAGTAAAGGAAGTGGCATTTTCACTATGAACTTAAGGTTGTGATTAAGCAACTCATTATCTATCTTCTTGGAAATAAAACACAAGTGCAGTTTTATCAGGGTTTTCTTTTTTAGACAGTATTTTGTCTGAAAAACATGTATGTGTAGAAAAAACACTAAGCATAAATTAGAAGATTAAATCACCAAAAAAAAGAGAAGCAATATTACACTCTGTGAGAACTTCTCTTGCTTAAGAATTGTTTATCTAAAATACTATCCTTTTTTTTGTTTTTTGTTTTTGTTTTTTTGAGTTGGAGTCTCACTCTGTCGCCCAGACTGAAGTGCAGTGGCCGCTCCCGGCCACTGCAGCCTTGACCTGCTGGGCTCCGGTGATCCTTCCCCTCAGTCTTCCAAGTAGCTGGAACTACAGGCATGTGCTACCACGCCTGGCTAATTTTTAAAATTTATTGTAGAGATGAGGTCTCACCAAGTTGCCCAGGTGAGTCTCGAACCCGTGGGCTCAGGCAATCCACTCACCTCAGTCTCCCAAGGCGTGAGATTTCAGGCTGAGCCGCAGAACCCAGTTTAAAATACTATCCTTAACCATTTTACTTCCTGAGATCTCAATTCAATTAGCAAATTTTCACTGAGCACATAATGCTTGTCAGGTGTTGTGAATACATTTGGTCCATGCCATGAGGCAGACACATATACAGAATTAGCAATGATCATTAAGCCCGCTATTTCAAACAGACTGTTTTTAAGTTTTAAAATTAGACTGGTCATTTTGTATATCCTAGACTTAGATATAATATTCAGTAAGCTAATGTTTAATTTTAAGTTTGTGTGGTTATATTTTTGGGTTACTAAAAAAAGTCTCAGAAATAAACAGGTAGATTATTCTGCCTAACATTTTAAAGAAATTCTTTCAAGTTATTTTAACAAATGGTCTTTTCTTTCTTTAAAAAATGAAGTTATCTCACAGGCAGTAAGAAACCCCTTTATGGGAAGGAGATTAAATTTTAAGATGTATAGCAGTTTCCCAGAGAGATGTAAGTTATCTTAATGTGGGACAAATACATGAGTTTAGAGGATTTTATATTTTTATGTTCCATTTCCATTCTTACCTCTATTTCTCTTTCAGGATTCAGATCATGATCCCACAGGATTATTTTTCTGTCCTTCCCTCCTCCAGTTAATAACATCCCATTTCTCATCTGACAAAGTGTGAATACACTGCCATCATGAGCTTTGATTTGTTTGCTGATTTGATAGATACCTAATATGATGAGAGAAAAATAAAAACACTAGTGAGAACACTTTTCATCAGACTTTAGTGTCTTTCTGGAAGAAAATTTCAGCAGAACTACAGAGTGAATAATCTGAAAATTCATATGAATCAATATTAAAAACTTATTTTCAGCAAGTCTTTTGCAGGCAGGTAGTGAAGCTTAAGACTTAACACAATATTTTGCATTCATGTCAATATTTATTTACTCTGAAAATATTTCAAAATATTTTCTTACAATAAAAGGGAACCCAAATCGTGGTAACAATTTCATGGACAACAGAGGATACAATATGTATTAGCCTCAGAACTTGACCGTCTCTTATAATCACCCTGTACAGCAGTTAGGGTAGGTTACACTCTTCTTCTTTTTTTGAGTTGGAGTCTCACTCTGTCGCCCAGACTGGAGTGCAGTGGCCACTCCCGGCCACCGCAGCCTCGACCTGTTGTGCTCCGGCGATCCTTCCGCCTCAGTCTTCCAAGTAGCCGGAATTACAGGCATGCGCTACCACGCCCGGCTTCTGATTTTAAAGCTGAGGACACGAGAGGTACCACAGCAGTCTCTCCAACAGTTCATAACTGTAGTCAGCTAATAACAAAACTGTGACTAGGACTCAAGTCTCCTACCTCAATGTTCCTTTAAGTTTACAAAAACACCTTTGTTTCCTGTTGTGCTAACAGTTATAATATTTAACACTTTACAACTGCAGTTGATATTGAGGTCTTTTGCTGTGCCAAGGATTAGCCCCCTTTATCTACTGAGATATGGGTGGCTGTGGAAAGGATTGGGACAAATGTGGGTACTGAATTTTTGTCCAATTTGCAGAGAAGAATTTCGGTATTCAAAAAATGGATTAAAAAATGTAGCAATGTGATGTCTAAAAGACAGTCCAATTTTCTCATAAGTCCACAGCACATTTTGCTAAGTACTCAAGGAAGGACAAGGTTGGTATATAAAAAAATATTTTGAGTAGGTATATAAAATATATTTTAGGTAAAACCCATGTAGAGTAATTGACTATACTTTGCCTTCTTTTTAAAACAACATCAGATCCTCTTTTTTAAGGGTGAGGATAAGGAGTAAAGCTTCTTGGAAGATGATGCCTTGCAGAATTAGTTACTAGGTTCAACAAGGGAAGGAACGGCCTTGTTTTAGTATGGCCAAAGTAGGCCAAACAATAGCCCTTATATCGCTTAGAAAAATGAAAACATTACAAGTTTAACGATTATACACTTTCTAAAATTGTTCATTAATTGATGATTAATAAGAACATGTTGTCTATCCATACAATGGACTATTATTCAACCATAAAAAGGAACGAGGTACTGATACATGCTACAAAATGGATGAACCTTAAATACATTATGTTAAATGAAAGAAGCCAGAAACAAAAGACCACATATTATATGACACCACTTACATGAAATGTCCAGAACAGGCCAATCCATAGTGGCCAAAAGCAGATTAATGGTTATCTAGGGACTAAGGAGAGAGGAAAGGAAGTGACTGCTCATGGTACAAGGGGTTCTTTTGGCGAGGGGGGGGGGTGGAGTGAAAATGTTCCCAAGTTAAAAGTGGTGACAGCTGCATAACTTTGTGAATATACTAAAAACTGCTGAATTGCACACTTTAAAAAGGTAAATTTTATGGTATGTGAATTTTACCTCAATATAGCTGTTATTGAGATTGTCCTTTTTTACTTATTTATTTGAGCTGCTATTATATTTTAAAAATTAACTAACGTGTAGGGCTTTGGTATCCTAAAAAAAAAAATTCACCTACAACTGATCAATTACTCTACTTCAGCATGAAAGTGCCAATGGTAAAAATACCACTGAAAAGATGGGTATAGAAGGGTATATTTGGCAGGGAGAAAAAAAAGGGCTTGCCCGATTCAGCAGAGTGGTGAGCAGACCTCCAACAAACCTGCTATTCAGGTCAACTGCCTCCGCTCACGTCAACATTCCTCACCTAATAATACTTTAAATTTTGAACAACACAACTGTGCTCAGTAGGATAGCTAGACAGTTATTTATCACTGCTCTGATATGACCAAGAGAGAAAGACTATCTAAGAGGTGTGTTTTCTGAGGTTTTATTTAGATATTTAAAACAAATAAAAGCAAACTTTGAGCTTATTTCTCCATGTATAGTCAAACTAGCAAGAGTATCCTGAAAGCACCATAAAAGAAACTGCAAAAAGCAGAGGGGCAGAGTTTCACAGTTCTCTATCAGAATGTAAGAAAATGAAATAAAGTTTTTCAGTTAATTCAGTCGTCCATATTTCTAACTATGACAAAACAAAAAACCTTGTTAAACACTTAAGATTTTCCCAGAATGACAGAATAAAGAAAAAATGCTTTTCAGGAACAAAAATACTCTACATAGTGATCAACTCAGTGAGACATGAATCCCCACCCTCCTCTTCTCATCCTGAGAGAGTAACTTCCTAAGGAGGACCTAATATCAATTTAGCAAAAAATTTCAGTGATTCAAATTTAAACAAATTACCAGAGTTTCCTTTATACAATATTTACCTCTAAAACAAACTTATAGCTAAAGATTTCTTTCTTATGGGCCTGTATTTCTGACATTCCAGTTTAAGCCACATAATGTCTGAAATACTGCCAAGAAAAATAATTATCTCTGAATTTTAAAAAAACCTACTCTACCTCCAGGCTAACTCATATGGCCAAGTCCATTCAAACTTAATTGCAAATCTCTCCTTTTTTCTCAACTCTAAAGTTTCCATAAAAAGCAAGTTTACACTGCCTGCCAAATAAAAATGTTTGGAAGGCTTTCCATGCCTCTTTAACTATGGAATCAAATATTAGAGAGACTTTGAAATGTATGCTGCATTCTTGCAACTGTGCCCATGTTGATTATTTGGAGAGTAGGCAAAACAGCAGTGTTTCTTAGTTCCTTAAAGGAACTTGACAAAGATTTAAGAAAGATGAACTTTTTAATAGTGTGACAGATACTCTCAACTTCCACTCTTCCACTTAAAAGATTACAAATTATTTCACATAAGAAACATTTTAAACTGCTTCATATATGCTGGAAATAAGTAACAAATACCTCATACCCACTTAAGAAATAGAAAATACTGACTACTTTGAAGATTCCTGTTAATTTGCATTTAAGAAAAAATGGTTTGGAAGCAGTAAGAAAATATGCAAGGAAGTTACAAAGCATAAAATACAGTTTTTGTTTGTCTCCTATTTTACTCAAGTAAAAGGGTCAGCTGTGAAATTATACTTCTGTCACCCAAAAATGTCATGCTTGGGAATATGTAAACTGCATCTACTGAAATTTTTGTACAAGAAATAAAAAGGGAAACTTTGGGTATCTGCTATGATCTAGACTTACATGTTTATTTCACTGTACTCACCAAATTCTTCCTAGCCAACTGAAAACTCCAAATATAAAGAAACAAAATTCTTAGCAATTTTGCCCATAATAGGGTCAGTCATGCAGCAGGCCATTTCATGTGCCCAGCAATTTGCAAGATTGGATTTCCTGTTCCCTGTTTGTACATGCGTAAATTTTCTATGCACAGAGGCTAAACCACAAATTTTTCAGACAAAAAACAAAATAAAAACCTCTGAACCTCTCCTGCCCCCACCTGAACACAAACATTAAGGTTAATGAAGGGTACATTTATACCCAAACTCTGTTAAAATGTGAACAATTTAGAAGTCACTGTTTTAATATGCTGGCTGGGCATGGTGGTTCATATGCCTGTAATCCCAGCACTTTGGGAGGCCAAATCAAGAGGATTGCTGAATCCTAAGAGTGCAAGACCAGTCTCGGCAACATGGTGAGACTTCATATCTACAATAAATAATTAAAAAAAAAATTAGCCGGTCATGGTGACAAGCTACTAGGAGGACTGAGGCAGAAGGATTGCCTGAGTCCAGGAGGTCAAGGCTAAGCTACTAGGCCAAGATACTAGGAAGACTGAGGCAGAAGGATTGCCTGAGTCCAGGAGGTCAAGGCTGTGGTAGCCATGATAGTGCCACTGCACTCCAGCCTGGGTGACAGAGTGAGTGAGACTCTGACTCAAAAAAATATGTATGTATATTTTTTTCCTTCCTTCAAAGTAGAAGTTATGAGAAAAAAACGTTCTTGGCATTTCTGATACTGAACAAATGTGCCCAGGAAAGAAAAAGGAAAAGAGAACTATGGCTGGGATCAGTGGCTCAACCTATAACTCCAGCACTTTGGGAGGCCAAAGCGAGTGAACTGCCTGAGACCGCAGGTTCGAGACCAGCCTGGGTAACTAGGTGAGATCTTGTCTCTACAATAAATCAAAAATTAGCCAGGCATGGTAGTATGCGCCTGTAGTTCAGGCTACTTGGAAGGCTGAGGTAGAAGGACTGCGGGAGGCCAGTAGGTTGACACTGGGGTGGCTGTAAGTGTGCCATTGCACTCCAGCCTGGGAGACAGAGTGAGACTCCAACTCAAAAAAAGAAAGGAAAAAACAAGAAGAAAAAGAAAAGAAGCCGGGTTCGGTGGCTCAGCCTATAATCCCATGCCTTTGGGAGGCTGAGGTGAGTGGATAGCCTGAGCCCGCGGGTTCGAGACCCACCTGGGCAGCAAGACCTCCTCTACAATAAATCAAAAAATCAGCCGGGCGTGGTAGTGCATGCCTGTAATTCCGGCTACTTGGAAGGCTGAGGCGGAAGGATCACTGGAGCCCAGCAGGTCGAGCGACAGAGTGAGACTCCAACTCAAAAAAAAAAAAAAAACAACAAAAAAAGAGAATTATATGGGAAAAGTAGTTAATACTGCTATTGTAACTTCCTTTTTTCTTAAGAACTTTCAACCCACTCCCATACTTCTCAAGTGTAAATTCTGAACCTAAACTGAATGAAAGAGGCTAAGAATATACAGCCAATGATTGAGGTTAGGGTCAATCGTATTACAATTTCAGGTTTTGTTTTTTGTTTTTTTAATCTTCTGAACATGTCTAATTCAATTCAACTGTCAAGCTTAGAAATTCAAGTGAAGAGACTTGAAAAACATTAATTAAAACATTAATATCGACTTATCAGGACATAACCCCACTCTAAGTCAAGGAACATCTGTCTATATCTCCAAAAATATATGATATAAAAACCCTTGTGATTTTCTTGACAATTATAATGCTAAATTTAAATTCCACATTTCAGTGAAAATAATTCTTAATCAATACTACTCACCTTTTCCTCCTACACTGACACCCAAAGGTGAGAGTAAAGTCATTACCTTAATGTCTGACAGTTTTTAAACAGCTAGTACCAAATGCCAGACATTATGCTGGCCCCGGGAGTTTACTTCAGAAGACAGACATGTAAATTGGGTCTTTCTGAGTAGCAGAACAGGGATTCCTTTGTTCATAAATCACTTAGGGTGATTTCCATGGTCTGATGCAGGGACTTGAGAGAGGTAAGAAGCAATCTGGATGTGTTCAGGGTGGACGAACAAGAGAAAGAAGAACATGCTATTCTGTGACCCCCCCAGAGGTATGGCTTAGGAACCTCGGGTTGGTTCTCCATCACCTCAGTTCCCCCACCCCTTGCTCTTTTTTTTGGGTAGTGAATTCTCAGGGACTGACTGACCTTGCTATTTCTATACTGTTTCTTCTTCTTCTTCTTTTTTTTAAGCGATGAGGTCTCGCTATGTTGCCCAGGCCTGTCTCGAACTCCTGGTCTCAAGCAATCCTCCTGCCTTGGCCTCCAAAGTGCTTGGGGTTATAGGCATGAGCCACTGCAGCAGTTGCTAGTTCTAGTTTTACTGTTATCACCCCTGTTGCTGCTGATAAAGAATCTCTCTCTGCTCCTGGCCTAGTGGTTTTAGAACCGGGTCTACCATTTTTCTCTCATAACCTTCTACTTTGAAAGAAGTAAAAGGTACCCTGGACATTTTTTCAAAGTTTGATTGATCTTAAATAGTAAGGGAAAAAATGGGGTTGAAGAAAGCTTATTTTCAATGCCCTTTCTCTAATTTTTTCATCTACCAAAGACAAGAGCAAAGCAGACCTATATATTTGGATGCAAATGGAACCTAAGAATAAAATATATCTGTGCTTTTTAGGAAAATTCATTTGAAGTAAAGCTGAATGAATGCCAAGGCCCTCTACTAGGGCTGGAAAGAAGGGCCACAGTGAGAAAAAGAAAAGGAAAAACCGACAGAACTATGAATTTACTGCTTTGTCTCCCCTCTCCCATTTTACCACACATCTATGCCTTTTGCCCTCACAGATATCCCAGAACCAGCCCAAGTGACAGCGAGACTTTATGCTTTTTAAATTAACATATATTAGTATCATCTCTATTTTATACTAACCTCCTAAAGGGAAGGGTCCCATACAGTCAAATGCAGATTACATATACTTCATAAATAACTAGATAATTTCATTTTTAAAAAGAACATTATTAAAAACACTGAAAACAAAAGGTCTGGTGATGGCAGCTTTCTCTCCTGGTCTGGAGACAAGAGGGGACGGCAAGAGCACATGGGAACTCTAAGGAATGAGTTTAACATGGAATACCGTACCTTTAGGTCCTTTCCCAGGTGTGGGCTCTATAGTAGTTTTGCTCCATATAAGCATGACTCCACCCGAGTCTCCAGTAAGAACATCTCCATTCCCCAAAAATGCTAAGCACTGCACAAATTTTGGTTTGTCATATTTCTACAACGAGACAAGGAGAATTTTCAGTTTTCTCTTTGGCATGATGACGTTATGCTTAATCAATTTAAAAAATTTAAGTTTTATTATATACCTAATGAAATTATAATGCTCTGATCCTTACCCCAAAGATTCCTTGTTTTCTTGTTAGTGAATTGCCACTCCAGGTCCAGAAAAAAATATGAGATTTACCACATGTTATGATGGTATTTGCATCTGTTGGGTGGAACTCCACAGCCAGAACAACTTCATTTGTTGTCTGTAAAAAGAGAAATGAAGCTTTAGACGATGTATGTCCTTTTCGTCATCAAGTACCAATTATAGCTACTGACAATTAAAGACAGGGGAAATTTTTGAGGAAATACCTTTTCTTCCAAGAGCTATTTTCCTGAAAATGTCAATAACAGATTTTTAGAATAATAATTTAAATTTGATATACTTATATTATGTCATCCCTTATGCTATTTATTTTTAAAAACTTTGGACTAGGATTTATATGAATTATAACTTTAGATTAATTTTGTGCACATTCAGTAAACTACAACTGTCAAAGGTAAGAGCAATGTACATTGTCTTAAAGACACTGCCATTTTAATGAAAGAAAATAGTCTTATCTTTCTTTGTACTATTTTTCTTTTTGAGTTGGAGTCTTACTCTGTCGCCCAGACTGGAGTGCAGTGGCACACTCCGAGCCACCGTAGCCTCAACCTGCAGGGCTCTGGCGATCCTTCTGCCTCAGCCATCCAAGGAGCTGGAACTACAGGCGCTCGCTACCACGTCCAGCAATTTTTTGACTTATTGTAGAGATGAGGTCTTGCCAAGTTGCCCGGGCGGGTCTTGAACCCGTCGGCTCAGGCAATCCACTCGCTTCAGCCTCCCAAAGTGCTGGGATTACACGGAGAATGGCCTCTTTGTACTATTATTATGGACCATTCATCCATTCAACAAAATATTTCTTTTTTTTTTTTTTGAGTTGGAGTCTCACTCAGTCGCCCAAACTGGAGTGCAGTGGCCGCTCCCGGCCAACGCAGCCTCGACCTGTTAGGCTCCAGTTATCCTTCTGCCTCAGCCTTCCCAGTAGCTGGAACTACAGGTGCGCGCTACCATGCCTGGCTAAGTTTTTGATTTATTGTAGAGATGAGGTCTCACC